AACAGCTCCACGGCGGGTCAGAAGCTTATCTCTCTCGGCGTTGCCCGAGCTAGTGTGTACCCGGGACCGTTTAGAGAAGAAACCGAGGTCGTTAGATTCGGCGGACCTGGTCCCTGAAACCGGAGAGAATGGCAGAACCATTACTACTTTCCGCAAATCGGAGTGGGCCGGCCACGCAAATTTTCTGCAAACAGATGAGTGTCTGGAAGGCTGGAGATTGGAAAGATTATGGGTCGGTCGGTGCTGTGTAATGGAAAGGGTTGGATCTTTTGGTTGCAGGATTTGCCGATGCCTTCCTATCTCTGTGGCGGCACAGCGGTTAGCATGACTGCAGCTAGACTTGCGTTTGCGGTTTTTTATACGAGTATTGATCATGCCGGGGTGTGCCTTACATCGAAGCGAACTGGCGGACTGGCGAACCACAACGACTGTATTTCCAGGCGAGGGCCCGGCAGCCCGGCACCACATTGAGGTGTGGTAACCAACTACTCTGTCACAAACACCAACGTAAGATCACCGCGTGCCATCGCCGCGTTTGGCAGGTGCTTGCAGGTGTTCCGGGTTGGGGGCGAATCGGTTGTCTGCACGCCGAGCGGGCAGTGGCGCGACTAAGCTGCCAAGGGAAGGCTTCGACAGGCTTTGTACCGGACGACTATGCTTATCTGGTTAGAACCAGGGCTATCAAGACGTTACATCGGGCCTGGCGAGAGTGCTTGTGCGTGCTTGGTCCCACTGCCCTCGAGCGACAGAGGCGAACGTCGGAGCCATTGGGTAGGTGAATGCCATGTGGGTACCGCGTGTGCTCAACGAGGGGGTGGGTTAAATATGGAGGTGTCTTCGTTCTTCTGGTATGACTCCAGGTGTTACCGGATTTCCCTCTCACCCTCTGGTCACACTCACTCTGGGCTGCCTCTCTATTGACCGAATCTTTGGTCGCAATTGAGATCTGAAACCATGGCTACCGCCCACGAGACTACTGCGTATGTTCTGCTTCCCCGTCGGCCCTTTGGTACTCGGGTCCACTGGGATTAATACGGGTTACTGACATGTTTGACAGCGCTGAGGCACTCCAGCACGGCCAAGAGGTCGCTGACAAGCACCCTCACCTCTACGGTGCCACCATCAACGACTCCAACGTTGCCGGCGCGCATGTTTCCACCGAGAAGGACGCCGCGCTCACTGCTGGCTCCCACTCCGATGCTGCTTCCTATGTCCAAGAAGAGGATGGCATTGGTGGCATCAGGCCCACCGCCGAGGAGTTGAAGACACTCCGCAAGGTTGGAGAGCCGCTCCCCAAGAGCGCTTTCTTAGTCGCCATTGTCGAGCTCTGCGAACGTTTCACCTACTATGGTGCTTCCGGTATCTTCCAAAACTACATCTCGCGTCCTCGCAGCGGTGAAGAAGGTCGCGGTGCGCTCGGTATGGGTCACCAGGGAGCCACTGGTCTCACCACCTTCTTCCAGTTCTGGTGCTATGTTACTCCCATTCTCGGTGCCATCATTGCCGATCAGTACCTTGGAAAGTACAACACCATCGTCATTTTCTGCTGCGTCTACATCCTCGGTCTTATTGTCCTCACCTGCACATCCATTCCTACCGCTCTGGATCACGGCGCCGGTCTCGCTGGTTACATTGTTGCCATTATCATCATCGGTCTCGGAACTGGAGGTATCAAGTCCAACGTTGCGCCCTTGATTGCCGATCAATACAAGAGGAGACAAATGGTCATTGGCACCGATGACAAGACTGGCGAGAAGGTTATCATTGACCCTGCCATCACCATCCAGAGGATTTACATGATCTTCTACTGGTGCATCAACGCCGGATCTCTGTCTCTGCTCGCTACTCCCTACCTGGAACGTGACCGCGACTTCTGGAGTGCCTACCTGCTCTGCCTCTGCGTCTTCTTCGTTGGACTGCTCGTCCTCGTCCTCGGCCGCAAGGTCTACGTTGTCCGACCTCCTCAGGGATCCATCATTACCGATGCCTTCCGCATTATCTGGATGATGATCAAGAACCGCAACATGGATGCTGCTAAGCCATCATACCAGGCCGGCCTCGGCAAGACCAAGGTCCTCAACTGGGACGACCACTTTGTCGATGAGGTCAAGCGTGCTCTTATTGCTTGCCAGGTCTTCTGCTTCTACCCCATCTACTGGGTCGTCTACGGCAACTTCTCCAACAACTTCGTCACCCAGGCCGGTCAGATGCGTCTTCACGGCATTCCCAACGATCTGATGCAGAACTTCGATCCCATCGCTATTATCGTTTTCCTGCCCATTGTCGACCAGTGGCTCATGCCCACACTCCGCAAGCACAAGATCGCCTTCCCTCCCATCAACCGTATTGTCGCCGGTTTCTGGATTGCGTCCTTCGCCATGATTTACGCTTGCGTCATCCAATACTACATTTACCACTCTGGTCCTTGCTACATGACCCCGCTAGCCTGCGACGCTGATCTTGTCGATGGCGTTCACCAGGGTAACAACATCCACGTTGCCGCCCAAACCGGTGCCTACATTCTCATTGGTCTCTCTGAGATCTTTGCCTCCGTTACTGGACTCGAGTATGCGTACACCAAGGCCCCGCCCAGCATGAAGTCCTTCGTCCAGTCCATGTACCTGCTCACCAACGCTTTCGGATCTGCCATCTCCGAGGCTCTCAACCCGCTCGTTGTTGACCCCAAGATCCAGTGGATGTTTGCTGGTCTTGCCGTTGCATCGTTCATCGCTGGTTGCCTCATCTGGATTCTGTTCCACCACCTCAACGAGACTGAGGACGAGATGAACCAGCTTGACCAGGACTACGACAAGGACGAGACCTTGAGGAGGAGCAGTGTGCACGGAGACCGCACTGTCGGTGTCCACCATTCTATTGATGAGAAGGCATAGATGGGTTTTAGGAGATCCCGAAAGGGAAGTTAGTATGAAGTTAATGTGCCATATTGCATGGCAGCTATGATACCAAGATGAGAATTTAACTGTTCAAAACAAATCGTCTGTCCCTTGATAATGTGATGTGCAAATCAATGGCTTTTTGTTTCGCCCTCTAAACGCAGTGATGTCGATGCAGTCTGAACTGTTCTGCGCAGCCGGACCTCGATTTACCCCAAGACCGCGTCCCTGTGTTCCACGGTCCGCTGTTGTTCGGCAGCGTACAACGATTCCAGGTTGTCTGGTATATGTTAGAAGAGCGCTCTGAACCTGCCCAGACCACCGCCAGTGAGAGCTAGTGGGGGCGCTAAGCCAGCCCCGCATTTACCATGAAGCCTACTGGCGAAGATACTTTACACCCATGCACTTTCCTTCACTCCAGTTGATTGTTTGCTGTGCAGCGAACGCTATTAGATAGACGCCTAGATTCGCCTTCCGCATTTCGTCTTTCCAAACGTGCCTTCTCCCCAAATTGTCGACGATCTCGCTTACCTGCTATTCTGGGAGACTAAGCAAGCCTATGGTCACCTTCTAGATTTGGCCTGTCCTAAGCTCGTATACATCGTCACACCTCGTATCGTTTGGCCCCTACGTTCGAGACACCGCTTCCTTCCACCTGTGATACGGTATAGCTCTTTTGTTCAGACGCGTCAGCTCGTGCGCTCGTTCCTAGCTGAAGTTTATCTTGTTTGCTTTTGTGCTGGTGCTCAACCTCCTTCAGCCTCTCTTTCGACCTAGCTAGCTACTCGTCACTTACCACCTGCCAACTTTCTCATTCGCATCACGCTACATGCAGCAACAACTGTTCAAGATGACATCTACAATTACCACAACACCGACGACGACCTACAACTACGTCTACACAACCTACACAAATGCGTCGCCGAGCCCTTTCACCAAACCCACAGAGTTCCCGTCCATCTTCAGCTACGGCCCTGCAGTAGGATGCGCCTCCAACTCTGCCATACCCGATACACCCGCGCAGCCTTCCAATTACCCTCTCGGTCGACCGTCCGGCCGCGATGGCGGATGCGTCATCAGCAACGACGCGGACTTCAACGACCACGCTTTCTGGGACATGTACGCGTGTTGTTCTGGCAATGACAGCACGGCAATGGGCAGCCCGTTTCCTTGCACGGCAATGTGCTCGGCTAGCGACGAACAGAGCTTCTTGGAGCTGGGAGAGTGTCTGAGCAAGAGGGTCGATGTTGTCATTTGCACTCCACCGTTCGACGAGATTAGCAAGAATTCGACGGACCTGGATACAGCTAGTAGCAGTGGTTCTATGGCGCAATCCTCATCGGCGGGGACGATGAGCGAGAGCGGAGGCGCGACTGCGAGCTCAAGTGGCGATGCGAGCGCGAGTGCTAGCTCTTCGAATGCGGACTCGACGGGCGCTGCCAGTGCGGTAGGCGCTACACACGGCGCGTTTTCGAAGGCTGGGTTGGCGGTATTCGGCATCATGGCGCTCGGCTCCGCTGCGGGCATGTTCTTGTGAGAGGGCATGGGTGAGGATAATGTATATTATAACTGAGCCGGTCTTACTTCCATGTCCCCTTCCATACCTTGGTGTAAATTTATCTAGTCGTAACATAATTCACGAATTGTTCTCATGCATGCCTGTGGTATGATAGTCTTATGGCATGGTTAGTGCTTTCCTGAAATGGTCCTATGCCCATAAACATCTCAGACACTACTATGCTGATGGCCATACCATAATGTGACGCCTTCATGTTGCGATAGAATGACGAAGAGAAAGAATCGAAGAGCCAACGAACGCGAACTCCTGCATATCATTCCAGGATGCGCATATAGAAAGAGACGAAGTGAACATGCAAATGTCAATTGACTTTCAAGAAACACGTAGGTACAGTATTTACAACCACCTAACCCGCTACCGCCGCTGCTGAGCCAACACACCGAAGACCAGTTCGTCTTCGTGATTGGCCTCGTCGACCATACGAGTGTCACCCATCGCCTCTGTATCCTTTATGGAACGCGACAAAAAACCATGCTGTGCAAATCGAAGCAAAATGCTGCCGCCTTTCTATTTGTTTCTTCTACTTCTTACCGATCAACTTCACCTGCAGAGGAAGTTAGTAAATGCCTCATATGCACTTCTTGGAGATAGGACTTACCAAACACCAAATCCATTGTTCCGATAATGGCCACAGCATCGGCAAGCAAGTGACCTCTTGAAATCTGGTCCATGCAGGCCAAGTGTGCGAATCCAGGTGCCCTAATCTTACACCTGTATGGCCTCTCGCTACCATCTGAGACCAAGAAGACACCCATCTCTCCCTTGGGCGCCTCAATAGCACTGTAGGTCTCGCCAGGTGGGACGGTGTAACCCTTGCTGAAGAGCAAGAAGTGGTGGATGAGAGCCTCCATGTTCTCCTTCATGGCAGCGCGTGGTGGGGGCGCGATCTTGTAGTCTTCAACCTTGACGGGGCCGGCTGGCATGTCGTTCAAGCACTGGTGGATGATGCGGAGAGACTGACGGAACTCCTCCATGCGGCAGAGGTAACGGTCGTAGCAGTCACCATTGACACCGACTGGGACATCGAAGTCAACCCTGTCGTAGGCGTCGTATGGCTGCGACTTTCGGACGTCCCAGGGAACACCGGATCCTCGGAGCATGACACCGGAGAAAGAGTAGTTGATGGCGTCGGCAGCTGAGACAACACCAACGCCCTTTGTGCGGCCAATCCAGATACGGTTGTCTGTCAACATCTCCTCAGTCTCGTCGATGCGGTCACCGAATTGGGTAGCCCATTGGTAGATATCGTCGAGAAGACCGAGGGGGAGATCCTGAGACACACCACCGGGGCGGACGTAGGCTGCGTGAAGACGGGCACCGGAAACACGTTCGTAGAATTCCTGGACGTAATCAGCATGTGCAATCTATACTTTTGCCACGCACAACTCACCATGAGCTTCTCACGCTCCTCGAAACCCCACAAGAAGGGCGTCAGAGCACCGACATCCATAGCGTGGGACAAGACCGACATGAGATGGTTCAGAATGCGGGTGATTTCACCGAACAGGGTACGGATGTACTTGGCGCGGATTGGGATATCGATGTTCAGCAGCTTCTCGACAGCCAGCGAGAAGCACTGCTCGTTGGTCATCATGGAGACATAATCGAGTCGGTCAAAGTATGGCAGGGCCTGGAGGTATGTCCGGTACTCGATGAGCTTCTCTGTGCCTCTGTGCAGCAGGCCAACGTGCGGGTCGGCGCGCACAATTTCCTCTCCGTTCAGCTCCAGAATCAAGCGCAACACACCGTGGGCAGCGGGATGCTGGGGCCCGAAGTTGACAGTGTAATGCCGGATCTTCCTGGTGTCTACATGTTCGTCCTCCTCCGCTCGGGTTTCCTGGGCCGTCTCGGCCGGTGCAACGCCGCCGAAGTTGGAATCGGTCGGGACCAATCGTGTCCGCTGGCTCTCCTCGACTTCAGCGTATCGGCGGGGGAATGTAGTCGACAGGCAGCGTGCAATGGGCCGTGAAGGGATTGCCGATCGGAGCTGGGGTCGGGAGGCGTTGAGGCACGCTCGCTTCGCCGCGGGGCCGGCCAGACGCGCAAAGGAGACGGGCATGGTGGTGGTATCTCTCCCTACGTCGAGTATAGGGCCTCAATGGGCGTGTAGAGTGGAGAGTGAGGGCGTGGCGTTGGAGGGGAGCTTTCCTCATATCGATGATGCTACCAGATTGAGTCTACCGCCATTGGCTGCGTGGGTCTTGGCGTGCCGGCGCCTTCCTCGAACTTTTTGTGAACATGGAAAGTGCTCCCCTCCGAAAACACCAAACTTGACCCCAATACCGCAACCATGTCGACGCCGAGTGCACAGGAGCAGATCAAGCGCAAGGTACTTACGCGACTTGGAATATGGGGTTGATCTTCCGCTAATGTTACAATTAGACGCTTGGAGTTGGTCCAGAGACAGTCACCAACCAGCAGTCCACCGACTTCCCAGGACACTGGCCGGGCGAGAACCACGAATGGGACTTGGAATACTTCAAGGAGGTATGCGCGACTAGATTCACGTCAAAAATACAGGACTGCGTACTAACCAAAGGTTCAGAACTTCAACGTCACTTTCCACAAATTTGTCCCCAACAATGCCGAGTTCTCCCTCACTGGTATCGACACCTCAGTCGCAAACGCCTTCCGCCGCATTCTCCTCTCCGAAATCCCTACGCTCGCCATAGAAGACGTCTTCATCTACCAAAACACATCCATCATCCAAGACGAAGTGCTCGCCCACCGCCTGGGCCTCATCCCCCTCTGCGGCGACCGCGAGGGTCTTCGCTGGCTGAAGTGGTACAAGAAGCCCACAGACGACGACGAAGGCTCCGGAACACCCTCAGACTATAACACCATTGCGCTGCGACTAGACGTGGAATGCACATGGCAGGAGGGCGGTCTGCAACGAGCAGTAGCTGGAGAGACCGATCCCGATAAGCTCTACGTCGGCCACAATGTCTACGCTAAAGATATCGTCTTCCAACCCCACGGCCGTCAAGAGGAGAAGTTTGCGCAAAGCGAAGGGAAAGAGATTCGGTCTACAAACCCGGATATCCTGATCGCAAAGATGAGGCCAGGGCAGAGCATTTGTCTCAGCATGCACGCTATCAAGGGTATCGGACAAGACCACGCCAAGTTCTCGCCCGTCGCAACGGCGTCGTACCGCCTTATGCCTACCATCGACATCACGAAACCCATCATCGGCGCCGACGCAAAGAAATTCGCGCGCTGCTTCCCCCGGGGCGTCATCAAGCTCGACAAGGTCACTTCCGAGGATGCTCAGAAACACGCCGAGCTGGAAGGCAAGGAAGGCGAGCCCAAAGCCGTAGTCGAGAACGCCATGAACGACACCGTTAGCAGAGAATGCTTAAGACATCCCGAATTCAAAGACAAGGTGAAACTGGGTCGGATACGAGACCACTTCATCTTCAAAGTAGAAAGCACTGGCCAGTGGGAAAGCGACGAGCTGTTCTTGGAGAGTGTCAAGCTACTCAAGATCAAGTGTCAGAGAATTAAGAGGGGCTTGGATGAGATGCAAAAGTAGGGAGATTTGTGGAAAGAGAGAGTGGGTGGGTTTGCATTGCAATGGCGTTCTAGGGCATAATGGTGGCGGGTTTCGAAAAGTCTACGATATCATGGAGCGACTTCTTTTGCATGGGTTAGACCATTGGCATTGTGCCTTTGAGTGATTGTCGAAAGGCATAACAAATGACTATGTCATACGTTCAATTCGCGATTCGCACTGAAGAGAGCTGGTTTCATGTGCATGACTTGGTCTCTTCAATTAGAAGCGCATGCAGTGAGTTTTGAAAACATCCTGCTCCCCAGAGGGAGGCGTTTGCGTTGGTATTAACGCCGGTGCCGTAGCAAGGTTAAAGTACAGTCTGAAGACGCAAAGAACGGTTTCTGCTGATACAGACAGACGTTTTACAAGAACCAAATTGACAGGCACAAAACTGGGGTACATGAGATTCCGTCCATCTTGGGTACCCTAAATTCAGTCGTTTTTGGCTATACCTAGTTCTTGGTTCTCCTGGATCTCCGAGTATGGTGTCAGTGCTACTCAGGTCTGGTGTAGGGCAGATCAAAAGGCTGGAAAATGCATCGGCATCCAGTAACCATGCTACTCAACGGTACGACGTTTTTATATCGATCCAATCATCGACAGCATAAGAGGGATCATCATGTCAGTCTCTGCCTTGTCTGGATGTACGTCCTAATCAAGCACCAGAAAGCCGATTGCCACTGATGCGTTGTCTCGCTTAGCCTTTCCACTGCACTGCCTCGCTCACATAGCAAAGGTTCTTCCTACACACTAGCCACTGACAGTACTGGTAAGCATGGGCCGTCTAAACATTTGCACTGGATGCAGAAGACTCGTGGGAGTTGCCGAAGCCCAGTATCTGGCATGACTGTTACCATATTGGATGCGTTGATACTGTTGTCGGATCAAAGAACAGCGCTGTTCTAGTACCCAGGTACCATGCGCGACAGGCTTCCGCGCATGAGACAAGATTTTGGTGTGCATGAGCACAAAGCCTGCCCATGTGATCTCTTGGGAGTAAAAATGCTTGCAGTGCTCAGGCCTATGTTCTACCTAGGTACTGGAATAGTACCCCGTCCAATGTGACCGCGCCATGCGGGACAGTAGGCCAGGCTGACAGCGATTCGCGGCCAGTCCAGGTGGCGAGCGTTGAACTTGACCGGTCCGAACTGCCACAGTCGCATGTATATGCCATCCCACCAAAATGAAAAGCTCGCCATCGTTCAACATCACCCTTCTATTTTCATATTGAGCCAACGCCACTGAAGTCTTCTACAACTATGGAAGTGGTTGGGTGTGCTGCCAGCGTCAGTCAGCTCTTGGTTTATGTCAGCTCATCTGCCTCAAGTCTTCGAAGGTTACAACATGAGCTCCTGAATGGCGGCTATCACTATCAGGTCGAGGTATCAAACATTCATCTTTTGCTCAACATTGTCTATCGTCTTCCGGATTGGAAGTTGGAAAATCATCATGTCCTCCCTCTGCTGATAGCCATATCTGGGGTCGCATGTCAAGCAGCGCACCTCCTTCAACCAAGAAAGATGTTCGGCATCAACTGGACACCCATCACACGTCAAGGAAAGATTAATGCGACCTTCGAATCGCTTGATAGACATCGAAGACTACTCCACTTATATATATCTTCAGCGAATCATGGCGTTCTTCTTAATATTCGAGACACCATCGATGCATCAAATCTTGGGACGTGTCGAAGAACCACTGGGACAACAAGCAAACACAACGAGACAGCCGCAATTATTGAGATTGAAGAAGCAAGCGATCCATCGATAGCCTCTTCCGTGGGCAACATGCCAATCATGTCCGTCCTGGAGAGTCAATTCACAACGCGCTCCCAAACGGTACTTACAAAACCAACAAAAGCATTGGACGACGTAAGTAAGCCTCCATGTGAGCGACTCGAGTCTTGTTCTGAGTTTGAGTGCAGATTCAGTCACGCGGCGATTCGCAAATACGACAGCAGCCTTCGCTCAAGCGCAAAACCGTAGCGTCCGTTGCAGATATACCGCAGCACGAGGCCAGTGCATGCCTTTCTAAGCCTTCCAATATCCAAAGTACTTCCCAATCGACTACGATTTCCCGAATCACCGAAAGTGGAAGCGCCTCTATAGGTCGTCCGACCAAGCATGTGTACAGTGCGGATGCTGCCGATGCAACTTCCAATGAGTCTGACTCTTCAGGCCTTGCGAAGTACGATCCGACATCAACTACAGTAATTGATTCAATTTCTGGGGACCCAAAGCTAGCCTCTGAGATACCGTCGTCGAGTAAGGCAGATGCACCCAATTGCAATGGAAACCAAGTCAACGTCTGGAAGCATCCATCGCCATCGCACATGCACCCAGAGACAGAGGATGAGCACAATAAATATGGAGGGCTTCCGACGCTTAAGTTTGAAATTCTTATTTCCTTAGATACACAGAAGCAAGCAGCACTGAGATCGGTCTTGAATGAGCAGAGTCAAACAACCCTGGTAACTCAAGGGGTGAGGGGTGGAGACCATGTGCCAACGAACGTGGAATCAGCTGAGCGGGAAGTCGAACGCCGTCGCCAGGCATCTGAGATGTTGGCGGCTTTATCGAGAATGTTGGAAACGGGTTGGTGAGGTCGGCAACTGAATGATGTCTTGCGCATGGACGTCGATGCGTGTAAACATCAGTGGAGATTGTTTTGATGAACGTACTGGTGCTGAATTGCAAGCACAACGCGGTTGAGTAACACTATACATCATCTAGACTAGAGAATATAACAAGCTTGCTTTCTATTGGTACAACTAGACATTCGGAACTGACACGTATTTATACAAAAATCATAGCTCTACAAAGAGTCAACTGACAAGCACCGAACCGGGGTATATGAGAGTTTGTCCACCTGGGACACCTTGCTAGATAAACATCAAAGAAAGTCGTATAGAAGTTGCGAGAATACATGGGCGTAGTCGTTGCTCATTCGCGTTGAATCGTTGCGACGAGAGCTGGGAGGTTTCCACAAGAGGACATGCTGACAGCTATGAGAGCTCTGCCAGCGCATCGCTACACAGCTTCTGCACGCTTTCAGGGTTGAAGCGTGGGCGCCATGTCATATTCTTCCTCTTCTGTTGCAGCTTCTCCCGTTCCTCGTCTGTCAGCATGCAGCTGCTGCGAGGATCTTTGAACTGCGACTTGGTGGGGGATGGCGAAGGAGTCGGGAATGCGAAACGCACACCACGGACACCGGTCGTCTCTTTTAGGGTCCGCACACTAGTAAGATGGCCCTCTACCATGCGGACAAAGGCGGGGGTGCCACTCGGCAGCTGGACCCCTGGTTTCGATCGCACATGCTCTGTGGATAGAGGTGATAGGATGCTGTCGTTCTTGATGTGGCGGGACAAGGGTCTAGGGTCGGCACACGAGTCCCATTCCACGTTTTTGCCGGGTGGGGATGGAAAGCGGAAGTTCCTCAGCGCAAGATCTGGGTCTACCTCCAGGTCGAAGGCATAGGAATCTGTGCTTGAGGTCGAGCTGCGGTAG